GTCAGCATACAATGTGTGAGAAAAGATAAAATATCTATATTTAAAATTAAAAAAAAAATTGTTACATACCTTGATTAAGCCCCAAAAGTTTATTTCATAGAATTAGACTTTTGACAAGGGATTATTGACTTATTTGATTCTTAGGGGTTGAAGCAATAAAAATGAGGTGGATCTTCATTTGTTGATATGTCGAACTGTAATTAGTAAGATTGAACCTTACTAGAGAGGGTGAGAAGCAGTATATAAATTCAGTCTTAGATTACACCTTGAGAAAATAGTTTAAAAAATAAGGTTGGAGTGTGAATTTTACGAGAGAATCAATGTTATATTTGACCATTGAGGGTTGAGATTTGAATCACTTTATGAATTTATGATGCTTGACATGAATTTTCACACACCCGTTAATTTTTTGCATTGAACGAGTAGAACTCAATTTTAATAATGTGATTTTGAATTAGTTCATAGTTTTAATACTAAAAATTCCTATCATGAGGCCAATAACAAAACTATCTAACCATGTTTGTTTAGATAAAATTGTGATTAAGTTAAAATTTATTTTGTTTGAAAACAAACAATTGTTCAAGTTTGGGATTATACAACTCATTTCGACCATTAAATTTGATTAATTATAAAAAAATTGATGACTTATGACTTAATTAGATGTTACTGTTGTTTATGAAATAATACTTGACACAAATTGGCGAAATTGGAAGAAAAAAATTCAAATAGGCAAAAACAAAAGAATTCAATGTTCGAGGATCAAAGTATAAATAGTCAATAGTTGATTCAGACTATAAAATGATGATTGAAGATCACATATAATCAATTGAATGCAATTCGAAGTAAAATGAGTGAAATATTCCCACAAATCAATTTCCAACAAAAAAAAGTTATGCTCCGAATATGTGTGTTTTTAAGAAATCTCTTTATGGGCTAAAATAGTCTCTGTGTCATTGGTATAAAAAGTTTGATTCTTATATGTTATCTATTGATTTCAAGAAGAGTGAGTTTGCCCATTATTTGTATTACCTGCACTACAGCAGCACAGAAAGAGAGAGAGTGTGTGTGTTTGTGTGTCTTGTTACTTTATGTGGACTACATGTTATTAATTGAACCTAACATGAAGTTGGCAAGCAAGATTAAAATGGAGTTAGAAAAAGAATCTCATAGGAAAAACTTATGACATGTTAGGAGGATCCTTGGTATGGAGATTAACCAGGATAAGTCTAATTCTTGCTTGTATGTGCGTTAAACTCCCTATGTGCTCAAAGTTTTCTTAAAAAATTGGTATGCTTGATTGCAAACCTACTTCGACGCCTCTCGAAAATCACTTTATTTTGTCAAAAGAATAATTACCTGCTAGTAATGAAGAAAGAGAATTTATAAATAATATTTCTTATTCAAATGTTATTGGCTTTGTTATGTACCTCATAGTCTATACTAGATCTTATTTAGCCGTTTGACTATGAGTGTGTTGAGTAGGTACATGTCTAATCCTACTCCTAAACATTAGGAAGCGTTAAAGTGGTTGTTTAGGTACTTGAAAGATATTTTTTATGCAGGTTAGTGTATAAATCTGCTTATGATGGCATAAAACGTAGAGATTTCACAGAATTTGACTATAGAGATGATATGTAATCTACTTCTTCTTACATGGTGACATATGCGACTCTTGTATGAGTTGGAAGTCTCAACTGAGTTGTAAATCTCAACTAAAACATATGATTGCTTTATCTATCACTGAATCTGGGTATATTGCCGTTATTGACGCTATTAAAGAAGTTTTGTGATTTAGAGTTTTACTTGATGAACTAGGCTTTTTAAGTGATAATGTTATAGTATAATTTGATCGTCAATCTGCTACTCATTTGTGTTAGAATCCCATGTTTCATGAACACACTAATAAACTTGGGACGGTGATGAAAATTTGGGTCGAACTAATTCAATAAGCTTTGAACCAATTATTGAATATTGTTTAATGATTGACCTGAGGTAATAATTGGTAGCCCATGGAATCGAGATGATTTTTGGGTCCAAATTGGTTGTGGAGTTGCCTTGGGTTGATTGATCTGAGCCATGTAAATCCTTCTTCGATTCCGAACGTGGATTCAAAAGGGAAGTGTTATTCTTGCAATTTCCATTTGATTAATTTGATTCCTATTGATAATTAACTTTGTGTATGATTCTCTCTACATTTAAGGAATCATATTTTAACATAAACAAATAACATTCTTGAGTCTACTTCTCAAGCTTGCCCATTTATATTTCAAAAAGTTTCATTTATGGCCTCTAAACTGTACAACTTGTTGCATTTAGACCCCTTTTTTTTTTGGCATTCAGGTCCCCAAATTTTAATCATTGGTTCAGCTCCATCCTTTCATATTAAAAACAACCAAATTTCTTCTACACAGTCGCATTCAACGCAGATAACTACTTTAGATAGGAGTATGGTTGTTAACACATTGTGAATCTTTGTAAACAATTAAAATGAACATGAGCACGAAAAAAGAAAAGGAAAAAGAAGACTTTTCTTCATCTTTCTCAATTGCCTTTCATTGTCAATGTCACCGCCACCTGCACCATTTTTAATTTCCGCCTTAATGCCCGTCTCTCGACGATTTTTGAGGATTATCTCCCTCGATTTCCACAATGGCTAGACTCCCACTGCTCATGTCAAAACCGACGAAAATCTTAGGGTACCTTCCTTTTTACTTTCTTTCATTATTTTAATTATTTATGAAGACATACAATGTATTGACAATGATATCCACGTTTAAAGTGATCATGTATAAGGCACATTGACGGTTTAACATAACTTCAGACGTTTTCTATCCAAACATACCTAGCTACATCAAAAATCAAAATTTGAAGACCTAAATGTAAAAAAGTAAAAAGAAGGGAGTGAATGAAAACTATTAGTTTGTTAATTTTTATGGTTTGGTCCAAACTAGGAAACTAAAGGGGCGGTGCCGGTGGGGTGGCACCGCCCGTCTTATGTTCCAATTTCCGACGAAATGTGAAAGGTGGAACAATTTGAAGTACATAGGAAGATGTACATTTAAACTTGACATTTTGTATCACCACTTGTACCAAGAATCCAATTAGCACGCCCTCGTGTTCTACACTTTGTCAAACCAATGTTTTACACATGATTATGCTTATTCATTCGATGAGTTAACCCATGTTCTTCAACCTTTTTTTAACTTTGTTGGAAACTCTGTTCGGTTAATTTAAATAAAAAATAATTACTTTTTCGATATTCACATCTCAACAAACGTGATCGATGAATAACAGCTGAATATTTTATACGTTTCTTTTCTCTAATCATATTTAGGGCGCATCTGCTATGATTTTTGAAAAGTCAAAATGAGTTTGTGAGATCAAAAAACTATTTTTGGACATATTTGACTAATTTTATGAAAGTTTTTAGAGCAAATAAATATTTTATATGCTTTTTTCTCTAATCATATTTAGGGCTTGTTTGATGTGATTTTTGAAAACCCAAAATGGGTTTTTGAGATCAAAAAATTATTTTTGGACCTATTTGACTAATTTTATGAAAATTCTTTTATTTAGAAATTTTTTTAGAGAAAGCTGATCAAATTTGACATCCTTTAAAAACTCTTATAGAATAGGAAGTTATTTTAAAAATTATTTTTCAAACAAAAATTAAGGCAATTTCCTCCAAAAGACTTCTAAAAGAAGTAAACGTAAAAAGGAAAAAAAAATTCGAAACGGGCTTTTGGAGCATGTTTGCCGAAGCTTAAAAAGTTTACTTACGAGTAAATAAGTAAATTTTAAATTAAATAGTATTTTTAGTTTCCATAACTGAAAAATGAGAAAGTTACTCATTTTAACAGTAAATAAAAAAAACCGATTTCCTTTCTCAGTAAGTTATCCAAGTCAATTGTGCTAGTCCATAAATATGTTTTTCGTTTAAGCACTTACAGTTGCAAAGACATGTCACATTAAGAAGAAATAGCAAAAATTGTCGCAGCAAACGAAAATATATAGAATCTATCCTTACTTGCATTGATTCGAAACAAAATGAAACTCTCCTCAAAGTTGGAAGACCTCCAATCCTTATGCCAGTCACGACTACGGACAGTATAGGAGGGCCTCCCTACGTAAAGATAAACTTATAAAATTATACGATTTTTTTTATTTATATAATAGTAAAGTCAAAACCTCAAAAATTTCAAGGCGGACTGACTCTGGCCAGCCCCACCACAAATAATAATAATAATAGAGCGCACCCGTATATGAGAATTGCTAAATGTAAAGAATTCTTCGACAATTTTTTGGACAGATTGTCAGTTGACAAGCATTTATTGAATGTTGGATATAAAAGAAATTTAAATCAATCAATACAGTGTTATCATTTCATCATCTAAAATGCTTTCCATGATTTTCATATGTACGAATCGCTTAAGGATAAATATACATGTACAAACAAATGTGTACAAAATGGGTTATTTATTCTCACAAATAAGCGACCCTCACGTGAATTTAAAAAATGTCGACTCGTGGTCCTCACCTTCCATTTTGAGTGGCGAGTAAAGAATTTGGTAAAAAAAATTTATAAGTGTAGCAAGACCCACCGCTTAATTACACACACATATAGTAATTTATGAATAAAATATCAAAGATTTTGTCGTTGCATGCATGGCGGCAGACAGGGCAACACACCCCTGTCGTCAATATCACGCTGTCATGTGCCTTTTCCCTTACATTTGTGAACTAACCTAGAAAAATTCATCTTTTACTTTTTAACTGTAACTTTGAACCCTGTTTTTCTCTTTTACTAAATTTGAGTTTTTCAAGGTACTAATTGTACTAAAATCGTTATTTTATACCAAAAAAAGTAGTTATGGAACCCCAAACTTTGACTTGACTTTGATTGCATACTGAGCTCTAACGTGGCAAACAAGTCTAAACTCTTTCTATAAAGGGAGTCTGTCCATTTTACGTGCTTTCTGTCCATCTTTCTTGAACGACAAAGCATCTAAATAAGAAAAAAGCAAAATGGTGTTCAGAAGTTTTTATGGGCTTAGCCTTTTCTTCATCTTTATTTTACTAGTTTTGCAGGAATATGTTACACATGCAAGTCAAGGTTATATTTGTGTGTTTACATGCCTTTCCTCCTTGAATATTTACTAATTTATAAGTTACTTATTTGTGAATAAGCAAGATTTTTGCTTTTACTTCTGCAGTGGAGGAGAATGACATGGTTGCAGCTAAGAGTAGGTTCGTAATGGTGCCTGAGAGCAGCTTGAATTGTGAAAAGGTAATGTTAGTAGGCAAATTTTTTTACGTTCATACTTCGTACAAAACCACCAAACTAGGCTTTTTTTCCTATGATTTGGGATCGACTATATGATTTGTCTTGCTTGTTCATTCTATTCAATTTATTATTACTTCTCGTACATTTTAGTACACAAAATTGGATAGTATGATGAACAAAATTTTAACTTTTTTATTTTTCGAATATTGTTCCTACGAAACATAATACTAATGCTTAACTTCTTACAACATTAGGGAGTTGAAACTTTATGCAAAATTGGAGGACGAAAAATGGTAGCCGGAGAACCAAAATTGAAGAGAAAGGAGAAGAAAAATGAGAAAGGCAAGACAAGTGGGAGAAATATGAAAGATTTGAAGGTAGAAATGGAAAATTTGATGGTGCTTAGTGCCGATTATCGTACTCCAAAATCACATCCTCCAAAGAATAACTGAGAAACTTGTGAAGAATTTTGGCTTAAAGTGAGAGAACAATTTTCCCCACTGCTCTTGCTTAAGAACTCAAAATCTAGATATAATGTCGATTATGTTATATTATATTACTTGTATGTATGAGAGAAAATTTCATTTTGTTCAAAACAATTTTGAATATTATGTGTAAGAAAGTTTCTACATTTGGCATACTTTTCTCGAGAGTTCTAGAATATTAATATTATCGTATGTCAGCGTCGGTTGGGATACGTTCAGTTTTCCTCAGAGGACCTCCCTCGTATTACTTTTTTCTTACAATTTTACGTAGTTCTATGTTTGTAGCTAGTTATTATGTTAGAAAAGAACCTTTAGAGATGCAACAATTAATGGTTTGTAAATAATTTGTCAATCAAATTCCACATGTCAATACTTTCTTAATGTTCTCTATGGCCAATTGTTCTCATTTACATGTAATTTATGGGGATTTTGAACTGTTAATTTTCTTAGTTTGGATCCGTAATAGATACCGGGTTCATGTTAAAACCAGTCTACTTGTAATCTTTTTGTCTTTATACAAGAATCCAGACGACTGGGCCCGAATATGTTAATGGGCTTACAAAGGTGTTAAATGGGCATACATTAAGGTGGCTCACCTCTTGGTACACATGACCCGTTCCATGGGGCCTCTTGGCCTTTTTGAAAAATAATTAGGCTATGCATTTGTTTTTCATTTATAAACTGGAAAATGTGGAGAAAAATACTTGCAAGAACGAAAATATATTTATGGTCTCAAACTATTCAGCAATATCAAATTTGTATTTGTTTAAGCTTTTAGCCTCCAAAATTTGGTAGAAAATAAAGCGTTTCACCGTCTACAACAAAACCAATATCAAATGAGTGACTCGAAAGATCAAACAACGTGGAACCAAGCAAGCTAGAGATAGAATTCAATAAAACCAAGCTTGAAATGTCGAAAACAAGTTTTAACTTTTGACTTCTTTTGTAAGATAAATTATAATAGTATGAGACGATATTTAGATTTATATTTAGAATGATATTAAAGATAAAAATTTATTCTTTGAAGCAATTTGGTCACGATCATTTGTTAAAAAGACACAAGGTTGAAAATGTCGTCTGGATATAGAAACGCCTGCAAAATTGATTGGACTTCAGTGTGATAATCAAAAACCAGAATTCGAAGATAATAGTTTTAGGTTGATTGGACCGAGTTGATCAACCCTTTATCCCTATATATTCATAGATCGATCGAACTGGGTTTAATGAGTAAATGGTGCACCTTTATTAGAGTCATATTGCTTTAGGTTGATTTCATTTTCTTACCTATTATCATTCTTTACGTTGTCTACCACTATGTATTTAATACAAACAAGACCCACACATAAATTGTGTTATTTCTGAGTCTTCAACCACGTAACAAATCAGCTTGTTTCACTCTATCCAAAACCACGATAGAAAAAGAAAAATAGCTGACCCATAACATGATTAATTCAAGAAATTTCGACTCCATTGATTCGTCTTTATCGACACCTTGATTGCGATTGCGACGAGCAAGAGAAAGATGACATGCCACAGAAGGAGATTAATTCAAAAAATTTCGACTCAACTAGACTCGATTGATCTATCTTTATCCACACCTTGACTGCAATTGCGACGGGTAACATAAAGATGACGTGCCACAGTAGAAGGAGACACGTGTCATAACAATTGCGACGGGCAAGAGAAAGATGACATGCCACAATAGCAGGTTAATTCAAAAATTTTCAACTCAACTAGACTCGACTAATCTGTCTTTATCCACCCCTTGATTGCAATTAAGAGGGCAAGGGAAAGATGAATGCCAAAGTAGAAGGAGACAAGTGTCATAACAATGTGGGTCTTACGTTACCCTTTTTAGGACCACCCAAAATAAAGGACAGAATACGCACGTGACTTACCCACATTGGACCCATTAACGACAGGTCACTTCAGGAAGGAGTGCACATGTATTCATACACGCATTGGGTAGATTTCATTCGTGTAATTTCCACTTATCACTTATTATATATATTCATAGTTCAATTTTGTTCAATCTAAAATTTTATTATAACGTCATTTCAATCGAAGAATTGTATTTGAATTTGATTTCACTTAAGATCACTAAAATTAATAGCTTAACAGGAAATAAATAATTTATGGGTTGTTGCTAACGTTGGAGAATTATAATTTTATTTAAATAAATGATCATCATCTTTTAGTGAATGTAATGTCATCGATTTTTGTTAATCCAAATGGCCGAATCCAAGAAATTATTATACTAAAATGAAAATGCGGTATAATTATACAATTCAATGACACGGAGAATGAAAATACAATTACATCCGTGTTCGTGTGTAAGAGCCTGTTTGGCTTGACTTTTGAAAAGTCAAAAGAAGTTTTTGAGGTTCAAAAATTGCTTTTTGATTCGTTTGGTTAATTTTGTTTAAGTGATTTTGGTGGTTAGAAAAACTTTTAGAGAAAGATGGTTTAATGTAACTTCCTCTAAAAGCACTTTTGAAATAAAAAATATTTTTAAATATTAGTTTCAAAAAAAAAAATTTAAAATAATTTTCTTCAAAAACTCTTTTACAAAAAATAAAAGTAAAAGTAAAGTTATGTCAAACGGACCTTAAGTTGGGTAGCGGAGCATTGCTTGCTTTTGACGGGTTGTTTGTAAAAGGGGTCCACATTCCACAAATTTGGAATAGTTACCCCCACGTGACATCGTCACGAGGAAGAGAGCGACCCACTGCCTGCCCCAAAGAGCACGTGCTCTCACGCAACCTCTCATTCGTGGTCACGGATCAATTTTCATCATCCCCTACCTTACTCTACCCTACACTTGCCCCTAGTACCCACGTCTCTCCCTATCATATTATCTACGTTTGAAGTTGGATTAATAAAAAAAAAAAAAAAAGGTTGAACCCCAACTTTAGGGGCCCCCACCAACCCTGTCCTGGACTATTGTGGAGGAGGTAAATCGCAAGATGTGCCTCCCAAGAGTCAGGGTGGAGAGCACATGGATAGATCAAGGCTATTAACCCATATGGTAACTTCCGCTTGCAACAAAGCCAATTTCACCTTGCGGGGAATCGAACTCTGCACACTGCCGCGCTGAGCCCTATCCGCCCTCCCCTTTGCCACTGGGAGATATGCCATGGGAGCGAAGTTGGATTAATAAAGCTAATACTCACGGAAGTTTAGAACATGTTTGTTCTGGTACAGATTAAAATTTAAATTTTAGTAAATTTTGATAAAAGTTAATGAAATACGTGGTTGAAAAGTTATGGCTCTTAAAAGACGTGGGATTAAAATTGATTCTTAATTTTGATTTAAATTTTAATTTAAAATTTTAACGATACCAAATAGAGGCTTAAAGTAAACCGTGATTTGAAAATAAAGTTAATGGAACCGTTATCTATATCTACCAATGCTATAGATCTCTTATTAAATTCATATTTCCTTCAATCATTTCATAGTTTTAAATATTTATATATTTATCGTACCATTTTTATGTATCTATCCTATCACAATTCTTTCATAATCATTTGTATTTTCAATCGTTGCCATCAATATGTATTGTCAAATTTCTTATTTGTTTTGATGTTTTCTAGCATATTAGCTACCATTGTATTGAATTTAAGAAAATCAAGGAAAAAAAGATAATCCCAATAGAAATCCTAAAATTCTTGTCTTAATAATCCTAATAGAAAAGACAGTCGTCAATGTTTTCAATTCAAGAAAATCGAGAAATGAAAATACAACCATAACTAAAAACACAAATAATTCGAAATAAAATTTACTAATAATACTAATTAAATTCAAATGGCACATTATCAAATAACCCAAACACTGATTAAGAATCATTCACATACTAAATTTATCAAACCCTCAATAAGAGGTAATTCTTACTTTTTCAATTTTCTTTCAAATATTTCCATGTATGTATATATATTTGCTCCAGTGGTGTCTCTTTCATTGTTTTAAATTTAGCTGAAGATGATATTTTATGAATATTAAAATTTTATAAAAAAAAATGTCAAAAAGAATGTAATGAAAATAAAATTTAATGGGTAAATTTAGAATGATATATTTTATTTAATTTTATATATGTCTATTTAAATAAATATACATAACGTCAAAAATATAACATAATTTTTCTTTTTAAAAGATGATACACACACTTCCCAATGGTGGATGTAAATAGTGACTCCTTAAGTAAATTTTACGTGGCACTGTCAATATATCATAATATGTTATTTATTACTTCAGGCACGTAAAATTGAGAAATTAGCAATTTGGGATTAAACGTGTTAAGATAAAAACTTAATTCGACTTTAATTTTAGTCATATTTCTAGGTTTAAATTAGGCCTGATACAGTTTGGTTTGGGTCGATTTCGACTCCAATTCGAAACCAAATCAAATTAATCGATTGGGGTGAATTTCCATCCAAACCAACACATTCTAATTCTTAAATCAAATTGAACCAAACTAAATCGGTTTCGAGTTTTAGTTAAAATTGATTTTATTTTTTTTAGAAAAAAACTTGTTCAAATTTTTGATCCGCTTAGATTACAAGAGCTAAAATAATTAAATAACTTTATGAAACTTATTGACAAACAAATAAAATTAGGTTAATAGAGATATATTAACAGAATACTTAATAATTTTATTATTTTTTTAATACATCAAGTGTAACATAATGAGTTTGTAAAATGAAATTTCCATTGCTATTACTTAATGGCAACATGATAGATTGGAGGGAATCAAGATATAATTATGAGATTAGGGTTTATTTTTTAATTTTGATTTTTCTAGAAAAAAAAAGATAAACATGTAAGTAGGTTAAATCGGTTCAGTTAACCAGCAGTTCGAGACTTCAAATCACGATTGAACCGATTCATCATGATTTTGTTTAAAAAAAAAAAAAAAACCAATTACTCGTGTTGGTTCGGTTTAATTGATTTGGTCGTTTTTACGATTTTTTTGCCCAGACTTAATTTAAATTGTATGGTAAACTCACGCTTTTTTTTAACAATAATTTTTATTGATTTAGCATAATAAATAATATTATTTAGTAATATGTTGACATTTAATATAGCCACGTTTGATTTAATGTAGTTTTTTTGACCAAATGATCATTACTGTAATTATTCGAAGCTTGAGAGATTAATATTATAAGAAAATAACTTC